TTTCCGGGTAAATTTCTTTTTGCAGTAAGAACATTCAAAAGGCTTCTCTCCAGTATGAGTCCGTGAATGACTTATCATATGTTGTTTGCGGGTAAATTTCTTTTTGCAGTAAGAACATTCAAAAGGTTTCTCTCCAGTATGAGTCCGTGAATGAGTTATCATATTTTGTTTGCAGGTAAATTTCTTTTTGCAGTAAGAACATTCAAAAGGTTTCTCTCCAGTGTGAGTTCTCAGGTGACATGTTAAATTCCACTTTGAAGCAAATTTCTTTCTGCAGTATGAACGCTCCTTATCTCTGACATTTGTTGCTAGATGACAATTCACACCAGACTTTCTTTTCGATGTGTTTTTGAGATGTAAGTTCTTCTCTCCAGAAGGCAAAATACGATTTCTGTCTCCTTCCTGTAGAAAGCTGTCAACATTTAAATCTCTATCTTTAGTATCAACAGAGTTATTGTTTGCTTCATTGTTGCTGTCATTTCCAAGCTCTTGTAAATGTGTAATGTCATTCTCATCTCCCTGCTGAAGTACATTGTCTATATTGTTGACAATGGTGTCTGAATAATTTRTTKCTTCRCTGCTGTCTKMATCAAARCTATTGTCATCTTCAAGAATTCTTAGCATTGCATCAGTTTCTTCCATGTCTCTGCTTCTGTCTTCTCTCCCTCCATCATCCAATCCATTATCTAAACCAGGTTCAATATCTATGTCATCTCTAGCTACTTCTAAAACAACTGGTTCTTGCAGTGGTGATGTTTCTGTGCTGTTGATAACATGGTCTGTATTGATGTAGATGGAAGTACAGCCATTATTACAGCCATTGTCATCTGTCTGTGTACCAATGGTRCAGACTTCTTTGTAGACAACTGGTTGACCAATCATGACACAGTTCTCGTCTCTTGAACTCTAAAATGGTAGAAATTTATTATCAGATGATGATGATGATGTAATGTGTTAGACTGTTGATCTTGAACTTTGGAAGTAGGGTGAGGACACCCTTCATACAGACATGTCGGAATTATGCGCAAAAAAAAAACAACAAAATTATGCAGACTTTTTTTCCCCATATTATGCAGAAAAAAGGGTAAATTATGTGGAAAATTATGCAGAATGACGTCATCACAGGAATGTAAACTTTGGGAAATTTTTCATATTTTTAGGTTATTGTGTTTGTTTTTCATGGTACATTTGTGAAGCCCACAAAAACAAAAATACATTCAGAAAATTATACTAGTAAGCATGTTTGGGAGCGTTTTTGATCAAATAAACAGTCAAGGGACCACAAAAAACATTAGTAGAAGGCAATTCATCTCAAAAAATGGTATAACATGGAAAAAAAATCGTGAATTATGCGGGATTATGCGCGATTTGGTAAATTATGTGGAAAGGGGGCAATCCGTGCATAGTTCCGACATGCCTGTTCATAAAGATTGTTACTAACAATGCTAGATCAACTAATTATTTATTTTCACTTTTTCTGATAAAGTCAGAGTCAAGTCGGCAATAGTCTCCTTCGCAGCCTCCCCTTTTGTCGGGCTTCCTGTCCCTCCCAAAAGAAGAGGCTGCTTACCCGAGCGGAAGATTCCATTCCCTATTGTATGCACGCAACAGCCACGACCAATCAAATGATAGCTACCGTGTAAACAATCAGCGACTCCCGATCAAAACAGACACTGTGTTCTGATATCAATGCTGAAAGTAGTTTGCTAACATGAAGAAAACGCTACAAAAATAGCACAAAGTGATAATATAATTTCCTCTTCATGCTCTCCAGTGGGCAAAGTTTGTATTTTTGGTTAGATGTCCGTCGATATCTCCGTTTGGAAACAAACTTTCAAGAGTTTATCGGGAAGTGCGAATTTGTTTTTATGCCGATCGAAATACCACAAGTGGATAGATATTTACATCACAACAACTGATTTACAAATCAAATAATTGCAACGGGATAAATACGAGTTTGCCAAAGATTTGATTAATATTATAACAATGGTTCGACTGGATCGAAGAGATTTATACGGAAAGATATCGCGAAGCAACGAACACTTTGCGAGCGAAGCGTGTCTTAAATAAATAAGCTAAACAACTTGAAATTTGCCCTTTTCCGTGAATTTCTCTTCGTCCAATACCACTAAATTAATGGTAGTAACCACTCTAGTTCTTTTAATCTAGTTCTTGTCGTTGATAAGGTCTAGTAGAGGCGAAATAACAACAACTGTCTCTGATTATCGTGGTTTTTCTTGTCCAATATCGAAGCTAATACTCATGTAATACTTGATTTACGAAGCAGTTCAGATTATTCAACAAACAGGTCGGTCTTCTCCTCAAAATCTATCGCAAATAGCAGTCGTTAAGCGAAAATTGGAGTCGTTTTAGTACGTCTTATGAGCATTTCGATGTCCCGTGGCGTTGAGTTGGCTCCCGAAAACGGGGAGCCGATCTGTGATTGGCTAAAAGCGGGAATGGAATCTTCCGCTCGGGTAAGCAGCCTCTTCTTTTGGGAGGGACAGGAAGCCCGACAAAAGGGGAGGCTGCGAAGGAGACTAA